ACTAGGGATCGAGCCCTGGGATCTACCTCAGCTACCACGAATTGGTGAATACCGTTTCACTGCTACGTTGTGCGTACTTATGTTATGACTTATGACCCTTAAACAGCTGATGTGACGGGGGTTACAAGGCCCAACCAAAACTGGTGGCCTTGCAAACACAGGCCGCACTTTCTACTTACCGGCTCGCCTGCTGCTCTTTCTATACGTACGGAGCCCCTGAGGCAATTACCCAGCTCCGGCTAAGAATGACATTGTATGGGCCTATTTTGTTGAACTGCCAATTTTCGGCTCGGTCTGTATTGAAACGGCCACAGCCGCGTTGGTACATCCGATGTGCAGCCCTGCCATACTAGTGGCCGAAGGGTCATAACTTAAACCACCAGTACCTCTACCAGTGTGCGGCCGCGGGGCGTTGACGTTAACGCGCCGCGACTTTCGGGGGCTCCACAACCGTTCAGATTTTTTTATCTACAGCTGGTGTCGCGGTGCGGGCCTCCGGAAGTCGCCAGGAGGACAATCCGCCAGTACAACAGGTACGTACTGGTGGTTTAAGCGTGCATTATGGGGCATAATGTGAACTGGTGGCCGAAGGGTCGTAACTTAAGTGTGCATTACACGGCATAAGGTGAGGGTGAGCTGAGTTTCATAGCGTAAGAGTGGATTTTAAGGGCGCTTACTCAGCGAGGGAACTTGGTCAGGAAAGGGATTTAGGCAGACTTCCCATTCGGAGATGAAGATTTGATGGTACCTGTAACGTAACTCGAACGTGAGGAAGGATACCGAGAAGATCAGCATGGCCCCTGAGCAAGGATGACACACATAAATCTACAAATAAAAAGAAAGAAAAGAAAAGAAAAGCACTGAAAATGTCTACACATGATAGGATCATCCTAGGATCGTCCTGAACAGTCGTATCAAGCAAGGACTTATCTTCTCTAGAGAGGAATGCGTGCCTGCGAGTGCACAGTTCATGCCATTCTGTTGTTGATTTGGTCAGAAAGAAACTTGATTGCAGCGAAAGGCTGATTGGTGTCGCTGTGCTTTGGTGCCTGTGAAATGTGACAGTATAACAGGGTGACAGAGCAATGGAAACAGCACAAACAGCCTTCGCACATCAGGCTTTCACCTCTTCCTGCAGCAGTGATGAGACCATCATTGCAGTCGATGATCGGCTCCCTATTCATGCGAGCCGAGGATGGTGGAATGGTTGGTTTGTTTCCTTTCACCCCCCCCCC